GGACAGTCATTGTTGAGGGCCAGTGTATGTACTCTGCATCATTGTTGAGGGCCAGTGTATGTACTCTGCATCATTGTTGAGGGCCAGTGTATGTACTCTGGGCAGTCATTGTTGAGGGCCAGTGTATGTACTCTGGACAGTCATTGTTGAGGGCCAGTGTATGTACTCTGGACAGTCATTGTTGAGGGCCAGTGTATGTACTCTGGACAGTCATTGTTGAGGGCCAGTGTATGTACTCTATACAGTCATTGTTGAGGGCCAGTGTATGTACTCTATACAGTCATTGTTGAGGGCCAGTGTATGTACTCTGCACCATTGTCTTAATATTTTTATTCCGGTACTCCTATGTTGCCTTGAGTGAGGTGGTCCCCGTGTGCTGAGTACCGCCTTGTGTGGACCGGACCACTCACCACAACATGAGGACACCACTACGGTGCGGTCCCTGCTGGACCATTATCATGTCTTGTGTGAACTTTATAATGGTCCAGTACGGACCTAAAAGTCGGTGTCCAACAACTATTTGGGCTGGACGGTAGAGCGACGGCCTTGCTTCGTGGAGGTCGGCGTTCAATGCCGGACAGTCCAAGTGGTTGGCCACCATTCCTTCCCCCCGTCCCATCCCATATCCTTATCCTGACCCCTTCCCAGTGCTATATAGTCGTAACGGCTTGACACTTTCTCCTCATAACTCCCGCCCTCCTCATCTGTGATGAGTGGCTCGGTCACGTTGAGCCCCGTTAGTGTGACTCATGTGTGGTGTTGCCTGCAGGATGGACCTGTTCCTGCACATGACCTGGGAAGACTCTCGCCTGAACCTGAGCAACCTGGTGTTCATCTCTGGGCGGGAGAACGAGAACAACTACATCACGCTGCCGGCCTACGCCATGGAGCACATCTGGACTCCAGACCCCTACGTCATCAACGCCAAGGACTCCGGTGAGTACACACGCTCCACAACACGCACTCACATCATCTATTAATTTAGGACAGGTAGCCTGCATACATATTTACTTTAGTGTTGCATCGGTGTCCCCTGCTTTCAAACGTCAACCTATACTGACTCTCCTTCCCATTATGACACCGTAGAATAGTTGTCTAACGTCCTGGCACCCATTTACTGCTGGGTAAACAGGCGAACCAAGTGAAAGGAAACGTTCTAACCATTTCTGTCCTGCACGGGGGAACGAACCCGGGATCTTCACTTGTGAGATAAGAAAGTAGCCAACTGTAATACAGAGACCCAAATATAACTGTAAGGTTGATCTTGTGGTGTTTATTCTCAGTGCATGTATTGCCCTCCCCCCCCCCCAACTCCTCTCCAACTGCTCTCATAGTCCTTGAGTCTACACTCGTAGTCCTTCAGTTCATACTCATAACCTTCAGTTCACACTCGTAACCTTTAGTTCATACTCGTAGTCCTTCAGTTCACACTCATAGTCCTTCAGTTCATACTCGTAGTCCTTCAGTTCATACTCGTAGTCCTTCAGTTCATACTCATAATCCTTCAGTTCACACTCGTAGTCCTTGTGACTGAGGTCTGTAAGGAGACGATCATAGTTGGGCTATTCCCCAGCCTGCAACAGCTTGCCTAAATCACTTCGATTGGAAAATACTTCCTTAATCGGATTGAATCTGCTTGGGCACTCTTGCATAAGAGAAAAATCGCTGAAGGTGTCCCATGACGCATCTTGACGTCACCCTCCCCACTGGGATCGCCTCCGGAAATATCGTCGAAAAACACATTATGGCCAACAAGTAACTATTTCCTCTTCTTGTTCTAGGTAAGGGTCTCACAACGTAGATTATTAGGCATCCAAACGCTTAGCCAAATGCAGGAACTGGACATTAAGGTGTCTTCGGGATGGCAGGGACTTTCTTCCCCGCCCTCTGGCACAGGAAACATGTTTTGCAGACTCTCCTTACATTCATGTCCATGCCCGACCAATTAAAATGCTCCCGAATCTGGCTTAAAGTTTTGGTCACTCCCAAGTGACCCGCAGGATCAACTGAGTGAGCAAACTCAAGTACTGCACATCGATACCGCACCGGCACCACCACTTGACGCCTCACTCTCAGCATACCATCACCCGCTTCGTCTCTTACCAGTCTCCGCCACCTCATTAGCACTCCCTTCTCCACAAAGATGTGAGTCGGTGACTCAGGTCCGGGGAGACCACCTTCCATCTCCCACATCAACTTTGGAAACTCTTCCTTTTGCAGCTCGAATAGACGGGCGCTGTCAATACCCCGAGGACTGATGAGGAGTAACTTGGATACTTTTATCCGACTCTTCCTCACCTGGCACTTGTCCTCGGGCCTCCTCTCTGAACAGATGATTGAGCCCCTGGTCACCCAGCATGTCCTCTTTGGCGTGACCGGATCCGCTGGCATCATCTTCCCGAACGCCCCGTCTTGACATCATCAGGCATACAAGAAAAGCTGCTCTCACAATTTCCGTTGCATCACTTTTGGCGTCCGTCGTGCTGCTCCATCGATAGGGCTCTATACACTCTTCACCCTCTATCAAGTTCGGCAGAACACATCCCCCCCCCCACCCAGGAATCATTTCCTAAGATCACCTGAGCTTCCATTCTTGAAAGTGAAGCACAGACCCCTACTACGAGAGTTTGGCAACCATAGTCAGAATCAAGAGTCACTTCGTGGAGAGGCATCCTCGCTTGTCCCCCCAACGTTCTTATCAGGGCTACCCCTGCACTGGAACTTCTGTAGTCTTCAGGGAAGAGGGATTTACTAACAAGGGTGAAGTCAGATCCCGTGTCCCTCAGCATCCTTGCTGGCACAGGATCAGCTCCTCTTATCTTCACCGTTCCCTCACATACAAAGGGGTGAATCCTCTTCTCCCTCATCACTGCCATCTTACCTAAGGTATTGTTGGCTTCTTCGCTTCCTACTCTTACAAAAGCCACGTTCTTACTGTGCTTGGGGCGACCGCACTCTCGAGCAGTGTTGTTACGGCCCTCTCGGGTCGCAACTAGGTTCGCACTCTGATGTCGCTAGAGGAAGGGTATCCGGCCCCAGGCCAGTAGTGGCTTTCAAGGGATGAGATCCGTGACGCAAGTAACTTAAAGGGGAAGGGAAATAAAGTCAAGAACTTAATACTATAATTAATGCCATCACCAATAAATAATATATAAAAAGATTACACGGGGGGGGGGGTATTAACACTGGACAGGGGAATTATTTACACTATCGTCTTCTCCTGAAGACTCTGGATCCAAGCTCTCGGTGCCAAGTTCTCGGTGCTCTCGTGGCCTCACGACGAATCCTTTGAGAAGCTGAGTCTACCCCGGCCACAGGTCAGCCAAAACAGTTCCACTGGGGGCACCGCCGTGGAGGCCGTCAACCACAAGTCCAGCAGAACAGCTGGCAGGTTCCGGATCAGCAACGCTGGTCGGGCCACTCCATGAGCGATACTAGGGTAGTGCCCTAGTCAGGAGCCTCGTGTGATACCACAGATCACTCTCCTGTCTACAATACCCCAGTGGTCAATCGTCTCCAGCAGTCGGTCCCGGGTACGACAATCCTTCACTGCCGCTTCACAGGCAGGGTAACACCACAGTGTTCATCCGGGAGGCGACTCACAGCTGCTGCAGCAAAGCACTTGGTATGGGGATGGCTGCCTTGGGTAGACTGACTCAACTTCCCTTACAGCAGTCCCAGGTCGACTCTGTAAGCAGACACGTCATCAATAACAGGGATACACTAAAGCACCTCACTTACAGGCTCAGACACAAACGCCTGACGTATCCACTCCATAGATGGCGCTGTTGTCTGAGCACCACCTCACCAGAGGTCAGCAGCGGCGGTGTTGTGAGCTGCACAGGACTGGAAACTGGCCCTTGTAGCCGGTACACTTCGTCCTCACCAGGTGTCGTCGTCCATTTGGTGGGGGTTTCGGGAGCTGACCCACAGATGGCGCGGTCGTCACTGCTCCGTGCTCGGACGCTGGATCCGGGTCCGTAACAAGTGTCCACGCCTTCCACAGTTGAAACATCTGCCGCCTCTCTTGGGCGACTCACCACTAGTCACCCTGGCTACACCGCCTGCAGACGCCACACCTTTGGTCCTCCTCGGACTTCGGACTTCCTGTCGTCGACTCCCTGACAGCACTTCCTTCTCCAGAGTTTGGCCTAACCCTCACTCCTTGGGATCTCTTCATCGTTTCTCTCGAGCTCTTGAACTGGAGATTCACCTCATTGGGTAAGCTAGTCTTGGGAGAGTCCCCGGCTGTCCTCGCTCCTCCTGAACTCTTGAAGTTCCCTCCAAACCTCGTGTAAGACGAGTGTCTGGGTGGTCCCTCCCTACGGAGATGCAGTGCCTCCTCCAGCATGTTGACTCTATCCGCTGCAGCTTTAAGGTCCTTAATACCTGCTTCTTTCACCCTAACCCTCAGCTCTGGATGGAGTACCGACATAAACTTCTCCATCACTATCAGCCGTTTGATCTCATCCACTGTTTCCGCTTCCTGTGCCTTCAGCCATCTTAGGAACTTCCGTTCCCTCTCCCGGGCTATTTCGGTGTATGATCTTCCTGATGCTCTCGTACACTCCGTGAACCGCTTCCGGTACATTTCTGGAGTTAATCTGAACGAGTGGAGTACCGCACTCTTGATTGCGTCGTACCTAGCACACACTCCTCTAGGTCCAGCATTGTGTAGGCTTCCTGAGCCTCACCGGTCAACCTGCTCTGGACCAATGCAGCCCAATCATAATCTGGCCACCCTTTCAAAGTCGCTATCCTTTCGAAGTATTCGAAGAACGCCTCGGCCTCTTGAAGTTAAAAAATTAGTGGGTCACGCTCCCTTACCTCGAGGTCATTCCGCCGTGCAGGTAGTGAGGTCAGCCTGAGCTCAAAGTGTCTCAACTCGACTTCTTTGTTCACCTCTATCTCATCCCAATGCATCCGGAGCTGTGCGTCTCATTCCTTAAGTCGCAGCTGTGCTTCTCTTTCCTCTCGCTGCAACTGCGCCTCTCTTTCTTCTCGTTGTCATCTCTTTCTCGAACGTTGTCAACTCTCCTCTCGCCCCCTCTGGCAACTCCATCAGCTGAGCAAATTTAAATGGAGGACTCGCACCCTCTCGATGGGAGGCAGCTTCATCAACATCGTCTGCTGCCTCACCAACTGCCACGTCGTCCACACAGTCTTCTCCAAACAGTAGAAGATACGGGCTGCCCTACAGCGTATTCTAATACAAATATAATAAGAACCATACTAATAACGTATATAAATCTCTACCGGCCTATCTAGCCTGATCATCACAGGGTACTGGGAGGGAAATATGATCTACCTTAATCACTCCAGTCCACGATGCCTGTCCTCCGATGGTGTGAGGTCCCACTGTTTCCATGTCGCTCCTCGGCGGTCCAGTAGCATGTTGCACGTATTCGGATGTCATGAAGAAATTGCGTCATCACCGTGCCAATCCCTAGAGTTCAGATTTTCTAAAACTGGTCCAACCAGTGGTCACCGAGCCTGTCACTGTACACACACGCTCCTTCAACAAGACATTCTCTCCAGGATCCAGAAACTGTGTCTTCCCTCCAACATCTCAGCAGATGTGATCCAATTACTGCAGCGCTGCACGTCATACCAGGACATGCCCTCCTGAGTCGTCACTCACCTCCAGTCGCCGACTAATATCCTCAAGTTCTTGGCACTCCTTTGCCCACTAAACTTGGCTTCTTCATGCTCCTCAGGAGCACAGTTTCTTCTGCGACAATGGGTAGACTGCGATGGCTGCTCAAAATCCACTGACCGAGGGTCCCAGAGCCTCCAACCTCGAGAGCTCACTGACGCACTTCTGCTCGCGTCAAACGTCTGAGCAACTCTGCAGCATCGCCTCTGATAGTGCATGGTCAGGTCTCTCCGTGATGTTACGGCGGGGTCTGATTGGTCAGTCACGTGACGTGACCTCG